CAGCTAACATTAGCGTATCACTTCAGCTAACTCAAGCTAACATTATGCAGTCAATCTTTATTTATACAGGTTAGCCTCACCAAGTCACGAGGACTCATTTATAAGAGAGACCTGTCTTAAGACCTGCTAACATTAGCTTGTCACTTAGCTAACTCGAGCTAACATTAGCTTGTTACTTCAGCTAACGCATCCACAGGAAAATGTGAGCAGAAGTGAGAAGTTAATTTAGGAATCTGCAGCTGTATTTGAGAAAATATTCCACTAATAAAAAAATAAAATAAAAGTTTGCCTGTTTAAAACACGCTTTTGTCTCAGTCCAGCTGAAAACTTTCTAGCAAAACAGCTGGTAAAAAAAGTCTATTAATATCTCAAATTTAGTACAAATATTTTAGATTTTAAGTCCCAACTATGAAATATGATACTTAAATAAAAACAGTTTATTTGTTCTCATATGAACTTTATTTTTAACAAACACTTGAATGAATTTTAATAATTAATAACCTGTAGACTGATTTATGAGCACCTTCAAGCATTGAATGTTGAGTTGGACTACAACTATTTTTACTGTACGTTGTTTTTTTGTTATTGCAATGGTAAATATTTTACTTTTTATTTGTTCATTCTTTTCTCTAACTACTGCAAGAGAAATTAAAATATTTGATAGCAATTATTAATTAAGTATTGTGTCATTTTATAAATAAGCTCCTTGTTGCAAACCAAACTGTTAGAAGTGGCAGGCAGCATTATGATTCTGAGACCTCATATCTCGCTTTATTTAAAGTTTGGTTTCTTTGGTGTGATGAACTTGACAGATGTCTGCTTTACCATTCATATCGTTCTAAAATGTCCAAGAACCGCAGGTCAAAAAGAAGCTGACAAAGCAGAACTATTCAAAGTAAACTTAACACTTTAAAGGTCTGAGACATGCACAAACCCTACTGTGCTAAAAGCAAATAATGGGTTGAAGGTGAGTGAGCAGCTACAGGCGATGGCAGACCCAGACCAATAGGTGGATGATATCTCCAGTGCCACTCATCCTCAGAGACAGTTGATACTGGGGGGTGTTCAGATACTAGGGCAGTGGGAAGGCAGGATCATTCCACTGGGACACAAACCTGATCTACTTTTAGGCTCCCGCTCTTGTGAGCACAACGTGAACTTGAACTTTTCTGCTTTCTTAAAATAAAGTGGCAATCTTGGGATTATCCTGAATCTAGAGTCGGTGATGCTGACCTGGATAATGCCTGCTAGCAGCTGGCAAAGACTGAAACAAATTACATTTCTAGAGGCAGCAGCAGCAGAGGCCTGGTTTTAACAGTGTTATGTTCAGTGTCTAAAATTGTGGCCGAGATGTAGATGGAGATATCAAGTGAACGGAGATTAGCTGCAACGTGAGATTCTGACTGCTGGCGAGTCGTGCCAATTTGTTTGATCGCCACACTGGGAAAGACGGCAGTATTTCATCTCGACAACATTTACAGAGCAGTGAAAACATACACAGCTCTTGAACTTTTCCACGTCGTGTTACAAACTTCATTTCATTGGATTTTTGTGCGGCAGAACAACAAAGTAGAGCAGAGCTGTGAAGTGAAAAGCAAATAATTCACGTTTTTTTCAAAATGTTGACTGCATTTAGCTCCACCCATCTTCCAATCAGTTCTGACCAGCTTCTGCTGAAGTATTACCTCAACATGATGCTACCACCGCCAGGTTTTTATAGTGAGGACGATGTGTTCAAGGTGATGTGCAGCGGTAGTCCCGTGGACAGATTGTCCCACCTGAGCTGCGAATTATAGCATGTCCAGAGTTACCACAAGCTTCTTGGCTGCTTCTCAGGTTGATGCCCTTTTCTCCTGGTCTGTCGTTTTAGATGAACAGCCACATCTTGGTAGGTCTTCTGGTGTGTCATACCCTTTCCATATTCAGATGATGGATTGAACAGAGCTCTGCGATGCTCAAAGGTTAGGACATTGTTTTATGACATAACGGCTTTAAATTTTTCTTTCTCCCTGACCTGTCTGGTGTGTTCCTTGGTCTTCATGATGCGGTTCGTCACTAATATTTTGTAACAAACCTCTGAGGTTCACAGAACTACTGGATTGGTTGTTCTGAGTTTTAGTTCGAGGTATCAGAGGTGAATTCAAATGCACGTAGGCCTGTCACGATAACAAATTTTGCTGGGCGATTGTCTCAAAAATTATTGTGATAAACGATAATATTGTTTAAGACTTGACAATAATTACTAATTATTGTCAAATTTAAGAAGAAATGTTTGTTAATTTTTGCATGTAGTACCTTTTTACCACCACTGGATGGCAGTATAAGACAGTTTGAACCGAAGGATGGATAGTGAGGGAGCGAGCAGTATGTCTCTAAGGAAAATGGGAGGGAGGCCCCTTGACGTGACATGGGCTGTCTCTCTTTGGTTCTCAAAATGGCGGACGCTCAGCGTGGTTTGAGCTCTTTAGCATAGCATTTTTCACACAAAGCTTTTAATTAAAAAAAATAATCAGTAAACAAGTTTTCAGGTTCTTTTTGCAAAGAAAAACAACTTTTTACACAAAGGCACGGGTTTCAACCGTGAATTTTGGAGCTTCGACAAGACGGAATGAAAATGAGGCTAACTTTCATTTATCATATGATTAATTGACTTATCGTTTATCGCGACAGGCCTATGCACGCCACAGTAGTAAGATATTTATTAGTCATAAAACTTGAAAGACACTTTTTGTTCCACTTCACAATCGAGTGCAACTTTTTGTTGAATACCTGAAAAATGCTTTGAAGTTTGTGGCGTGTGTGCCAAAATGAGGAAAAGTTCAAGGTGCATGGAGACTTTTCAAGGCTCTGTAGAGTCCTTTAAAAGCTCTACTGCTGCTCAGGCTATAGCTGTGCACAGATGCACATCTAGCAACTCTAAAAATAAACCGACAACGAAACCTGTCAAAAGGTCAATGGTATTAATTTGGGCATTAGCTAGGAAGGCTTCATCTCTGCAGGAGAGGGTTGGAAATGGTTAAGACATTTATGTTATGCAATTCGTCACTAAAGCTGGGGGGGCTTCTTGTCTGGCTAACTAGAATTAGTGTTGGAAACAAAGGGCAAGACAAAGTCTGTAAGAAGAAGAGATTGTTAAAGACTAGTAGAGGTAGGGAAGCTGCCACCAACAAGAATTGATGGTTCCATTTTTGTTTCTTCACAGATTTGTGGTTTTAATGCAAAGTAGCAGATAAGGGGCACCAGAAAGAGGAATGATGAGGTCAACAGGCCAGCATGAGGCAACAGTGTGGAGGGACAGAGCAGGCGAGCAGCTTAAGGAAACCATAAACTTGCCTTGAGGAGACTGAATGAGAGATACAGGCGAAGAGGAAAGAAAGGAATCTGAAAAAATTGGAAGAAAACAAACGAAAAAGGACAGAAGAATGATCATCTGAGAAGAGCTCCCATTCACTACAACCCATTCAAATTAAAACAGAGAAAACGCTTCACTTATTTAAACGTCTAAAGCTCAGTGCTATAAATACACTTTACAAGTTTAAAGTATTGCTCTCACCATTTACTGCAGTAAATGTACGTTAACACATGCACACACATTTGATCTGCAGGCCAGACAGATAGTTTCAGAAGAAATCCTAATAACTTTAATTCCACACACGACCACCAGCACTTGGTTGGTACCTTCAGCTCTGCAGGTTTAGCACAGCACAAATATTTTATAGACAGTAACGTTGAGGATTGAACAGAGTCGTTGCTTTCTGTGTCTGTTTTCTGACTAGTGTAAATCTCTCCACCCCCTCAGCAGCACGCTGACTGTGCACCAACGATGCCAACACAACAGATAAGACAAGAGTCAAACCACGAGCAGAAGAAAAACAAAAACAGATGCTTGTTCTGAGGAAACACTGCATTAACATAAAGATCACTTATCACTCAGGACTGAAAGGACACAAACTGTCAAACGTTCCTTCAACTCGTCTTTCAGACAAACGGCTGAATTAACGCCATCATCGCCACGTGGTTGTAGCTGGAGCTGCAAACTGCTGCGTGGAAGCTGCAGTACAAGCAGTACGCTGACGTGCCGCGTCGCTGCGGGATTTCAAGAGTGGATGTTTGTTTTTTTTTTAGATGAGTGTTCTTCTGCCCTGGAACTGAACAGGGATTGTAAAAGTAAACCTAAATGTTTTTGGTGCAAGATGAGGGTAGAAGCTACACTGTGGAGAACAGAGGGAGGTTTTTTATTTGCTCGTCTGAGGCAGCACATTGACGAATCCTGGTGAGTGGAAGGAGCAACTTTATCCACCACCTGGTGCAGTGGCAAAGCCAGGGGTGGCAAATGGGGGCCTTGGCCCCCATAGTTTATTTTTCACCCCAAGGGCCGCCCTAATCATTTGAGGAAACAATACCTTTAAGAAATATAAAAACCAGAAACAATAGTTTCCTCAAATGATGGGGGGGGGGGGGGGGGGGGGGACTAGTTTATCATCATCTTGGATTTTGAAGTGGCATCTAATTTTTAATGGTGACCTTTCTTACACCTAGATGTAGCCACACACCAAAATGAAAGTTGGTACCTCACTTATATCTCAAGTTATCATTCTCAGAGCAAGCAGGGACAGATGGATGGATGGACTGTAGTACGAACAGGTTTCCATCATAGTCCTACTAAGTGTCACAGCCACTTGATAAATGCCACTTAAACATGGAACTCTCTCAAAACCCCAGAGTTCATATATCCAAATGCCCAAGTAACTATTTTCTGTCACCGTGTTCATTGTATAAGACCACTGAAGAGCTTTGTCAGAACTTTGAGGGCGTGTATTTTGCAGCAAAACAAGTGAACTATACTGACCTCCGTTCGAATTATTGCTCTGCTGAGGAGAAGCTGGCCGAGGCCGTCTGAAAATACAGCCACCACCAGCAAAACTTAAGATATTCAAAGAACTCGTCAAAGGAGACTGCACTTTTTTGTGCACGGGTGAGACGGCACAGAGACTACTGCTCTGTGGCTGTGTGGCCCTGGAGGGAGTGTGAGCGGGCAGCATATGAACAGCTTTCTGCATCGTTTGTTGCTAACAGTGGCAATATCTTTGTGTGACTAAATTGCAAAAAATTTCTTCTCTTCATTTAACAGACGCACCAGACCTTCCTCCAACTCATCCTTCATCAACTGAAAACAAACATCCACTCTTCTAACCGTGCTGTTTCTGATAGAGGTTTGTAGGCTCAATCCAGGTGCATAACAAAAGAAACTGGTCCAGATGAAATGATTTAACCTGCTTTTGTTGTTTCTGATAACGTGATGTGTGCTCATCAGTTCTGCTGTGGCCTCCTTTATAGAACACTTTATTAGAAATTATTCTTAAGACTGACACTTCAGCTTTGCATTCACTTTTAATCAACATTAGTGTGGATGCTCACCGGGTCTATGCAGTGTTTGTATCTACGTATGCTCTGCAGTCAGTCACTGAATGCATTCAGGACATTTCACTTTCACTAAGTAAAATACCAGTAAAACAAGTTTGTAATTACATCTGTATATAAAAGTTAATAAAACAGGAAGGTGTAAAGGACTAAAAGACCAGACTTTGAATGACAACTCTGAATCTGTTTTAGGGCGTGGTGTCTGATTTTACACAGCTGTAAGTGCACAAAGGTGAATGTTATGACACTCCTGTCCTCATGCAGCTTCTGTGACTACATGCTGAGCCAGATGAGTCGACTTTGAAGCTGAGAAAATCAAGTTTAAACCAGTTGGTGTGTGTGTATATATATATATATATATATATATATATATATATATATATACTTTTACATCATCATCGATGTGTTGAGGACATTGTAGGCCATGGATTAGTTATGAAATGTAGTTTATATGTGCAGCACATTCCCATATAATTAGAAACTTAAGATAAAAAAACAGTGGTAACATCAAAACCCACGGAACTTACAGTAATATGAAATGGAGAAGGCTATATAAAAATAAATATAATGAAATCTGGAAGCACGGCGGATCAGTTGGTAGAGCTGCCTCCTCTCAGCGAGCAGGTCGTCCTGGTTCAAATCCTGGCCGGGGGACTTTCTGGGTGGAGTTTGCATGTTTTCTCAGTGCATGCGTGGGTTTTCTCCAGGTACTCTGGTTTTCTCCCACAGATCAAAAACATGCATGTTAGACTGACTGGTAACTCTAAATTGTCCCTAGGTGTGAGAGAGAGAGAGAGAGAGAGTGATTGGTTGTTTGTCTCTCTGTGTCCCTGTGATGGACTGGAGACCTGTCCACCTGTCCAGGGTGTCCCCTGCCTATCACACAGTGACTGCTAGATATGGGCACCACCGACAAGAAGAGGAAGAAGTGGGTAAAGATAATGGATGGATGGATGAAATCAGGAAAACTTCAAACTGATTAAACACGTCTAGTTTGAAGTGTTTTGAAGAGCAAATGACTTTGTGAAAATCTGCCAATATCAGGGAATCAATAAATGATGGAAAAGCCAGTGTGTGTCAAGGTGTTCAGCTCAGTGTGCACGGGCAGGGCAGGTTGAGCTTGGTGTGGCCCTGTGGGGCAACATTCCTACTACAGTTCACCTTCAGCACACCACACCTTCACCTTCCAACACACCCATGTCTGGATATCCACGTGCTGGAAACGCAAGAGGACTCAGCAGAAAGGAAAAAAAAATACTACAAACTATACAGAAAAACAAAAAATAAAATACACATTTGTAGGCACAGCAGAGTTAAAACATTTAAAATGACATGATAACTGGACTGTACTTGTATAGCTCCTTTCTGTCTCATCAAGATACTCAAAGCTCTTTACAACACAATCTGTGCCTCATTTACCCATTCATTCATACAGCACTCTTTTAAGTCTATACAGAATAATCAGTGTTTTATCACATTCATACACCGATAGGACACACATCGGAGGCTATGAGGGGTTCAGTGTCTTGCCCAGGGACACTTCAGCATGTGAGTGTTGGTAGATTCGAGCCCCCAACTCTTGCATCAAAGGACGACTGCTCTAACCACTCAGCCACTGACTAATCTGCACATGGACATCAAGCTGGGTCACAACAGCAGAGGTGAAAGAAAACTAAAAAAAAAAAAACATAAAAAATGATTAATTATGTGGAATAAAATTGTGCCCTGCAATGAAGGTAGTGTTTTGTATATATTTGAGCAGTAAAGAACTTTAGTACAACAAAAACTGCAAATACTCAGAGTTTCCTTTCCTCTAGAACGTGCTCTTTGCTCGTGGTGTGAGTTCATGGCTTACACATGGTCACATTCCTGAGCGTATAAAGGCATGCTGGCAAGTAAAGATTATCCCTCAACTCTTATTGGAAACAGTGGCTCGCAAACTTTTAGTACCACAACCCGACTGGAAGGAGAAACTTTAGCTAGAACAACAAAATGAACCATTTCCACAGACTCAATTTACTCAAAAATACAGTAAAAACTAAATCTGCTATTATTGTTCTAGAACTGTGCCGCTCAAGGTGGCTTCATGTTGGAGCGGCTCTGTCACTTTCAGTCCGAGTTATTGCTTTTGAAAACTTTAATTCCTCTTTTGTTCTGGATGTAAATCACTTTTTGGATGATTACTTCCTCTGGTATTGGATGCTGTGCAGCTGGAAGGATTTTTACTAAACTTTTTTCATTCAACCTTTATTTAGACAGGTTAATCCCAATGAGCCTCGAGGACCGATTTACAAGAGAGACCTGATTTCAACAAAGAATGATGACAACAATGGACAACAGCGAAACACGCAGCACGCTGTGTTCAATGACATAAAAATGGATGCTACACATGTTGGCATGTGTGACTAGAGCTGTTAAATCAGAACCAATTTATTTATGTTTTTTTTTTTACTTTTGAGCATTAGTTATGATGCGTAACCATGGCAACAAGTTTTTTTTAACAACCAGGAGCAGCTGATTAACATCTCAAAAGCTCAAATACCTCAGCTACAGCCCCAAATCCCAAATGAGTTGAAAAGGAGGCGCTGTGGATGCATTCCCGTCAACCTGGCAGCAGTGCTCGAGTACCTGACCGCTGAGATCATGTAGCTGTTGGGCAACTCGGTTCGTGACAACGGGAGGATCGGGATCATCCCCCGACACATTCAGCTGTCTATCCGTGGTGATGAGGAGCATTCGGGCAGTCCTGCTGCCCAGGAGGACAGAGAGGCCCGCCGGATCTGACAGCAAGCTGGATCCGAGTGGACTGATCGGTATCTGTGGCCAGATTCTTCAGATTCACTGCAGAAGATCCTTCCTGCCCACAGCTGTCAGCATCTATAACAACTCTTGAATGAAACCAGGATGATGAGCTACGACAACACTTAATTTCCCTTTGTGATGAATAAAGTACTTTTTAATTAATTGATTAATTTAATTTTAATTAAGTAATTCATTACATTTTTGGAAAAATTAAGTTTTTGTGTGAGAGCTGATGTTGGTGTTTGATCTTGACTGATGCAGATTATTAAAGTGTCATGTACAATGAACAATGAATCATGTACAATGACTCTTTTAAACTTACTTCAATCAGCCGACAGATTTTACACATGAAGCATCTGCCTTCATTTAACAGCACACTGTCAACAGCCTCTATGACTCGAAGCAACTTCCCCTCCTTTTCTTTCAATCAATGAGATCTGCTGACACCCAGCACATGCCATGAGTGAGCAGTCCGCATCATTTCAAAAAACATGATGAGAGTTGTTCTGGACTGGAATTGAAGAGGGAATTAAGTAAACTTTAATGCTTTTGGTGCAAGATTATTGGTTTTTATGTTTGTTTTATTGTCCGAGGCCGTGCAGAGCGATGAATCCTGGTGAGAGGAGGGAGCAATTTATCCACCAGCAGTACAATGGTGGAGCCAGGGGGTGGCCAATGGTGGCCTTGTCCCCCATAAGATTAATCTTTGCAATTTGAGGAAATGACTTTTAATCAATACAAAAACTAGAAAGCATAATTTCCTCAAATATTTTGGGTGGCCATCTTGGATTTGGATGTAGCAACCCAATAAAAAAAACTTTGTAACGCCTCGATGTAGCCACACCAAAATGGAAGTTGCTGCGTCACTTATTCCAAGGTTTCCCCTACAAGGAGGGTGCATCAGAATCCAACGTCCCGCATACCAAAATGTCCTTCACCCACAACTCTCCAACACCCCCACCCCTGCCAAAAACTGCTGGCAATGATGTTGTGCTAAGCTAGTGGCACGCAATACAGACGTGCTTCTCTCACGCATCCTCCTTTCAGAAGACAAGGCGGACAGATGGATAAAACTTGATTATTACACCAGACGTGTATTAAAACATAAAAATACGTCACAAATCAAACATAAGTCCTGCCCTCACAGGCGAACTCCTCACACCTGAGGTGTCGAGGCTCGACGCTGAAAGAAAGAGTTATGTTTAGCTCATGTTGGTCGGTTTGTTTAGCTGTCATGTAGCAGAATCTCATAAATAACTAAAATTTTATTATCAGATGTAAAATTTTGAATAAAATACAGCAAAACAAACATCCACAAGTTGATTAACTGTAAACTTTCAGTAGAAGTTTGTTAACTATAATATTAAAGTCAGTTTAGTGATGGGTTAACCTTGTTATATGTGAGCATGCCTACATACTAACGTTGTGTTTTAATTTGAATTTTAATTAATTAATTTCAAAGTGTGCCACCTCCTTTGGGACTGCTCTCACTCATCTGTGTCCCTGCCAGAGGAATGGCCCCAACATGAGACAGGAGCTGGAAACGGGAGAACCAGGCCATCTAGTAGCTGGATTCCAAAATAAACCCAGTCAAGATTGTATGGTAAACAGCATCTCACTGGGCTGCCACTGCTGGGAACTGGAAACACAGATTTCCAGTAGAATTTGGACAAAAACATGCAGGAAGTTCACGTGCTTAGAACAAAAACATACACGGCTCTAGAGCTCTTAAGTTAAGGAAACTAAACTTTAATCTGTTTGAGACACTTCTATTTTTAGAACAAATTCCAGACCCTGCAACCCACGTGAGGAACGTGAGAACCGTTCAAACATTTTGAGACATTTAGAAAGTTTCATGTTCAGTTTGTTGCCTTTAATTGCAGCCCAGTGAGACACATCAGTACGACTGAACCACGAACCAACACGCAGCACGCTGTGTTCAAGGAAGTAAAAACGGATGCTACACGTTAGCATGTGACTCTGAAGTTGTTCAATCAGAACCGGTTTATTTATCCGACGCGTTTCTTCGGTCCAGTTTTTACATTTATTCTTGCCTCTTGATGGCTCCTCCAGCTAGCGTTGCATTTCTGGAATAAGAGCGACGTACTGCAGGTAGAAACAAACTCAAGTATTGATCCCATCACTACTGATTGATATGGTATTGATACTAGAGACCTTCTGATATATCGGTAGGGTCGATATTTGGGGACATATCAATATTGGTAATAATTGGCCCAATATACGCTGATATAAATACAGTAATGCTAATAAATAAATACTTTGTAACGTATCTTGCTGACCAGAGCATGGCAAGTTTATTGCAACTGATCTGTAAAATAAAATAAAAAAATTAATAACTCTGTCAGGTGGTTACATGAGCCAAAATAATATTTAGGCTCATGTAACCACCGTTTACCGCTGGAAACTTACACACAAATGAAACATGTCAGTCTTCAGCTGTCATTTACAGACATACGAGAGAAAAGGGGTGAACAATGTTACTGCCACAGGAAGCTACGGCAGCTCCACTGGGACAAACAGCCCCTTGCAGTAACTACTCAGACTTTCTCATAGTGGCAACAGATTATTGTTAAAATCCATTTCTGCCATTTGAAAAGTGATGTAGAATGCCAGCGATGCATTTAAAAATACATCTTACCCCCACCCTTTGAATAAAATTAACCCTAATCACTCAGCTCTTGTACAAACAAAAGGCAACAGCATCAATAATTTAATTAAACCGCTTGCTTTTCTTATTTGCAGTTTCTTCTGTACTTTGTTTGAACCAATTACTTCAGCCATCAAAATGTGGCGGCCATGTTGAACTGTGTTGACTCCAAAAGTTAATCCGCTGGAGATGTACACTCAGATTACTTGCAAAGTATTTTTTAATGAGACTTTTTGGTAACACACACACACACACACACATAATGGCAAAAACATTTATGCCAGTCTTTACCTCTCAGTGATACGAAATCATCCATCAAGCGTTACGACTACAATGTTGCATTTGCTATTTTTATTTTGCAACGCATCATCTGATAAACCCTTAATGACGATAACCACGGTTATTGAGCATTACTGTGGTCTCATCCATGTGATGTAGGTTTCTTCTTCCTCAGCAAACAGGGCAGTCTTTTTTTTTTTTTGGAGACCAGACTGAAAGTAAGCATCATCACATGCCACACCCAGCTGTCTCCCATCACTCAATCACCTTTCAAAGCCACAATCCTGCTGATTAACGCTCAGCACAGCAGTTTAGGATGATTTTCAAATCCCCCCCATGATTTAACACATGGCTGGAGCTCAGATCAGAAATCTCTAGTGAGGCACACAAACAGTGATGGCGTCTGAGCCGCTCCCACTTTCACAAAAACCCGGCGGAAACACTGCTCCTCTGCTCTGAATCTACCAGGCTAAACGGTGGGTCCTGAACATAACTTCCAAATGTTAAGAATGGCACCTTAAATACAGAAAAACGTGCGGATCCTGGAGCTTTAATGTGCTCTAAAAAGTGTTACTGTCCCTTTAAGAGGGCGGGCCAGTGACAATGCATCTGCAGTGCAGCGCCATGAGCGTCACCAAACCTTATTGTGCAAATAATCAATTCGCTAACCTGTCAACACGCACGCCATGTTAAATGGCAGTTAACACATAATATCATGTATAAACATGTCAGTTTAAATTCGGCTCATGTCAAACCGGTCATGCGCACTGTATTTTTGTAAAAATGGCTGCTTTTGTCTCCATTGTTAAAGTTAAGGCCTAATAATAAGCAGCTAAATGACAACCCTCTGCTCCGTTAAGCAACTTCGTTACAAAAGGTCCAAGCCCAGCCTGCTGTCGTCGTTCATTCAGGAGTAAAGCGACAGAAAATGAGACAGAAACGGCGGGTTTTCGTGTCGCTACCACAGGTGTTTCTCATAGCAAGCTACAGGGTAAACGCGTTGTGTCAACGTTACTGCCCCGCTCTTTAAAACGAACAGTCTCAGGGAACACACATTACATGAAGGCGAGCTAACTAAACTTGAGTCTTAAGCTAGGTCTTACCGGATAGCTTCGATTCTTTGGCAGCAAAGTTTTGTCCATCAGCAAAACCTTGCGACGAGGATATCTGGGCGGACTGAGTCACTGAATCCATTGTATTAACTTAAACACAGCAGTGCAATGGTGATAAAATGTCTGTCGTCGTAGCTGAAGCTGATTTTTGTCAATAAAAAAACGCTATATGTCTGACTTTCCTTAAAATCCTCCTAAGTGTCTGGGCTCTGCACCTAAACGCACGATCCGAGCTCTGAACAAACAGCAGAGATGGAGAGAAACAAGACTGTGGAGGAGGGGCATAAGATGCGTTCAATGTCTCCACGAAAGCTCTGCAATATTATGCTCGATGGAAAATAAACGAAATTTAGCTTATTTATACTTTCAAGCACAGAGACAAAAACACTTTAGATTATGATCATTCTAATCAACAATTAATGTAGTCCTCGATACTTCTTTACAGTGCAAAGAAATCTGCAATTCTCAGATTTTTTTTTCCATTTTGTTAAAGAACTAAACTATTCGACAGTCCTGAAAAGCAGCAAGAATATTCCTGAACAAGTTCGCCGATGACGTATTTATTAATCTGCTTGGTGTCTGTATTTCAAAGAATAAGGAAGATATATTGCGCATTTTATTCGACATATTTTATGATTTTGTAACGGGTAGCAGTTTTTATGTACTTTGCCAAAAAGCATATCGTTGCTATGATAATAAAAACGCTGTGAAGATGTATGTGCTGTCAGTGCTTTCTGCAATTTAACGAAATTTATAGGTAAGCGTTTTTAATACATTCTGTTTTTTTATGTGTAAGGCTGACTTTTGGTCTATTGATCAGAAATTTATATTGTAGAAGATTTATGTTGCCCCCTAGTGGGGGGTTTGAATTTCTACCGCGTAAAAACTACATTTCCCAGAATGAACGAGGGTCGATTTGAGGCTAGTGTGTAAGAGCTACAAACTATAGGGATGGGACAAAGTGGCCTGCAGTTGCTTTGACTGTGACTGATTGTTGTTTTGAGATCCGCACACTTGCGCTTACGACAGCGACAACACGCTCCAAGAGATTTTCAGACAGACTGAACTGCGCGGTAAAAGAGATACACAAACAAAAAACATGTGGTTGGGACTGTGAGAAAATCGGTATGTAAAAGTCCTATATTCTGGTAAATTTGAGATATGTGATATTACTTCGGAATAACTTGTTATGGCGACATACTACGGTATTGTATTTGGTAGGAATGTAAGCGGGATATAAAAAGAAATGTGATTAGCTAACTAGCAGCTATAGCTTGTTAGCTGATCGCCGAACCGTCATTCAACCTGCTAATTTTAAGCTTTTTTATCATAATGCACATACCTGATGTAAAGGTTTTGTCTGCTTCTGTACTGCACTGAGCATTATAAAACCGTAGTGCATAGTACTTTCAGACAGAGATAAACAAAACAGGTTAGCTAGTTAGCTCACGCCAACCTTTTAATGTAGCATTTAAAGCCACCTCGCAGAATATTTCGTCCTGAACTGAAATATCCTGAACATTTGTAATATTCCGCATACACTGTGGCGTGTTACCCGAGGTCGGGAACTCTGATAAACTAATATTCTTCTTCTTGGCGCTGATTGTATGAACGTAGCTGCGGAAGTGGGTACCCGCCCACCCCGGTCAGCGGGAATTATGTAACCTGTTAACGAGCGGAGCCACTCGGCGGGCGACCATGTTCACTCCGTGACCGCTTTATTCCGCCCAAAACATTATAGATAAAACAATTCTAATATTCTACCATTTTATATATATATATATATATATATGTATATATGTATATATATATATGTATATATGTATATATATATAT